ACAGAACCGCCCACGTTAGGATTCCTGGCTGGGCGGGCCTGCTACAGTAAAAACGTTGGAGTAAGAAAAACCGCTTTGGCTTCTGAAGGGGCTCGGGGTTCCGCACGTCCGTCCTTGAGTCGGCATTCCTTCAAATTCTGGTCGTCGTCGCCCTCCCCCCCGCTGCATGGAGCTTTCCAAGACGCCGAGAAGTCCAGCTGAACACAACTGCCAGCAAGTGTGAACTACTGGTCGTTTTCGGCGCTCCGGCGCCCACGCCGGGCTCTCGGATGGTCGCTCTCCCGGACGATCGACCCGAGCTTCGCCTCGCCTTCCTCGGACGCGTCTCGTGAACTCGGGCGCAGCTGGGGCCACAAGAGGGGCGTCGCTCCCGACCTGAGGCTCCTTTTGCGGCAAAGCTCTGACGGGGGCGGGGAGCGAGCCGATTGCGGATTACTACATGGCGCGTTCCAGAGGGTGCTTCGCCTTCGGCGCGTCCGCGCTTTCGGCAGAAGTCGGGCGACAGCGGGCCCGCCAGCGGAAGCGTTCGGGAGGGCGGCGGAGGGCGGCGGAAGCACGAGCAAGGCGGTCAACATGTTTGATTCTAGGGCGTATGGAATCGGCCGTATGCCTCTAGTCGGACTTCTGCGCGTAGGGAGCTGACGACGGATTTATCAGAGGATGGTTTCCTCCCCGTCAAACTTGTCATCATCCCCACTCACTCTCGCTGGCACGGAGTCCAAGGCGGCTCCTCGCAGTTCTAGCGCACGCCGCTTAGCCAGAGACACGAATGGCACGGACCGACAGGCGTAATTCCAAAATCGTCTTGAGCAAGATCGCTATATGATTTGCCCGCGATCCAGAGATCGCCAAATCAGTTACCAGGATGCCCTGTCTGAGAAGGCTCGCGCTTCGCTCCGCCTCTGACCATCAACCTGTTGGCCGCTCACTTGAGTCTGGGTCCATGCTGGCACGTTATTCGAGCTGTGTCTGGCCGTGGCGACAAGAAGCTCAAGAGATTATTGACGCATCGAGTGCCCCCACCAGCCCATTCTAGAAACGATCTTCAGGCGAGTAGCTTTGATGAGTCTATCGCATCACGCGTAAGGAGGGCTGCGCCTACCTTGGAGCCACCAGGCAATGCCGCACAGCGGCCCTCTAGGTTCCCGCCTCCCCAGACGGGCAGGCGGAGGCCGAACCCAGAGGGGGCTCCAAAGGGGACCAGCCCCCCTCGATGGCCTCCTCTCACGTCTTCAGCGCGCTGGTGCGCTGCTCGACGGGGACGCCCGCCGCCTCCAGCGCCGCCTTGAGGAGGTTGGTTGCCCCCTTGGACGACAACTCCTGGACCCCGCGCTCCGCGAAGCCGGCCACGAGCTCCTCGAAGACCTCGTTCTTGTTGGGGAGGTTGTTCAGCATCGTCTTCTGGATGTCCTCCTTCGCCGAGGCCTTGAGCTCCTTCGACTTGTTCTGTTGATCCTTGTTCTCAGTCTTTGTGGGGTAGTTGCTCGGCATCGACGACTTACGGATATCCTCCTGCGCCGACGGCTTGAGCTCCCTCGACTTGGGGAAGTTGCTCGGCAGCATCGACGGCTCATGGATCCCCTCCTGTGCCGACGTCTTGATTTTCTTCGTCTTGCTGGCCGCGTGGATCGCCTCCCTGCGCCAGCCGCCGAACATTCAATCCAGAGGGCGCCGCTCCTCGGCGAGCTCGGTCTTCTTGCCCGTCGACGCCGCAACCTTCAGGGCTGGCCATTGCCCCACCTTTTCGGGTTTGCCTTCTCCTTCCTATTGTTGTTTTTCCGTCGTGGGGAAGTGGTTCGGCATCGGCCCTTGGATCTCCTCCTGCTCCGCAGCCTTGAGCTCATTCTTCCGCGCCTCGCCCAGTAGGCAGTGGGGAAGTTGCTCGTCCACGACTCCTGGACCTCCTCATGCATACCAGCCTTGAGCTCCTTCGAGGGGAAGTTGCTCGACAGCGACATGTGGATCTCCTCTTGCGCCGAGGCCTCGAATTCCTTCGTCCTTCCCTTCTTCTCCTTTTCCTCCTGCTTCATGGGGAAGTGGAAGTTGCTCGGCATCGACTCCTGGATCTTTTCCGGCGCTGTGGCCATGAGTTCCTTTGTCTTGGCATATTCCGTCATTGCGAACGTTTTGACCGTTTGCTCGCAGGGTCCGATCCGTTCGAAGTTGCTCGACATTGATTCGTTGATGTTCTCTTGCGCCGACGTCTTGAGCTCCTTCGTCTTGACACGCGACGGCCTCGGTTTCGGTATCGCCTTGAGTGCCGTCATCGGCACCGCTGATTAAGTAGCATTCCGCGGCACCTCGACCCACTGGAACGGCGCTAGCCGCACCCGATGGGGCGGTGTTTACGTCGCCGCTGCCATTGCTGACGAAGATGTCCAGGTCCTCCGCCTGGTAGCCTGCCACGAGCTCCCGCAGCCCTGATCCGAGCTGCATTGACAGGTCCGCGACGCTGACGTGGACGCAAGCTGGTGCAGCGCCGCTTCCAATCGCGCGCTGGCACCCTGGCGCGGCCCCCCCCGCACCGAGAGGAACGGCTTGGGCCAAAATGGCTACGGAGGGGGAGGAGAGTGAGGAGGAGGAGGAGGAGGAGGAGGAGGGCGAAGAGGAGGAGGGATGAGGATGAGGATGATGTGGGAGGAAGACAGCGTCGACGGCGACGGCCACGACGACGACGATGACGACGACGACGACGACGCCGACGATAGGGGCTCTCTTGAGACCATCTTGGGGTCCTAGTGGGCCTTGGGGGCCATCATGGAGGACGTCGATCAAACAGTAATCCCGAAAAGTCCCCTCTTGGGAGATCTTGGGCGCTCTTGGGTCCCTCCTGGAGCCCTGGAGCCTTCTTGGGGCTCTTTTGGACCATCTCTGAGGTCTCAAAGATCAAAATTGGCTTTCTTCTTTGGGTTGGCATGGGACCTCTTGAAGGTATCGTGGAAACCATCTTGGACTAGATTGTACCAGCTTGGAAGGTCTCTCGGGATATCTGAAAGAGCGTGTTCTACCGCTGCTGGCGGAAAACCGGGGGGGGTCACTACCGGTTCGAACCCCTCCCCCCCCCCCCCCCCCGGAAAACCGGGGGGGGGTCACTACCAGTTCGAACCCTTCCCCCCCCCCCCCCCGGCTCATCATGAAAAGGAGGGGGGGTCACTACCGGTTCGAACCCCCCCCCCCCCTCCCTCGAAAACCGAGTGGGGGTGCGGACAGTGGTGGGGACGGTGTTGGTGGGGACAGTGGTGAGGGGACAGCGGGACAGTGGTGGGGACAGTGGGGGGACAGTGGGACAGTGGTGGGGACGGTAGTGGTGGGGACAGTGGTGGGGACAATGGTGGGAACAGGGGGGACAGTGGACAGTGGTGGGAACGGTGGTGGTGGGGACAGTGGTGTGGGGACAGTGGGAATGAGGTGGAAACACTGGGACAGTGGAGGGTACAATGGTGGTGGGGACACTGGTAAAGGCGTCGGCGAGGACGGCGGTGGGACAATGGGACAGAGGTACAGTGGGGACAGTGGTGGGGACAGTGGGGACAGTGGTGGAAACAGTGGGACAGCTCAGTGGGACAGCGGAGGAGTCAGTGGGACAGTGGGGACAGTGGGGATAGGCAGTGGTTGGGTCCGTGGAGACAGTGGGGAGAGTGGAACCGTGGTGGGAACAGTTGTGGGAACAGTGGGGACAGTGCGACAGTGGTGGGGGCATTGGTGGGGACAATAGGGACGGTGGTGGAACCAGTGGGGACAGTGGTGGTGAGGACAGTGGTGCTGGGAACAACAGTGGGGGATGTGATGCGAGCGGTGGTAGGGACCGGGAGTCGTTTGCTGGCGGTGCGTGGGGGGGGGGTCGAACCGGTAGTGACCCCCCCTCCGGTTTTCGAGGGGGGGGGGGGGTCCAACCGGTAGTGACCCCCCCCGGTTTTTCCGGATCCGGAGGGGGGGGGGGGGGGGGGGTTCGAACCGGTAGTGACCCCCCCCGGTTTTCGAGGGGGAGGGGGGGGGGGGGGGTTAGGGAGGGGGGGGGTTTTGCTGGGAGGAGGGGGGGGGGGGGGGGGGGTTCCGGCAGGGAGGGGGGGGGGGATTTTCGGAGGGGGGGGGGGGGGGAGACCCCCGGGCTCCGGAGGAAAAGGTTGGCAATTTTCCACAGTAAAGCGGCGGTGGATCACGCTCTCTCGGATATCTAGAGCCATCATTGAGCCATCTTGGACGCTCTAATATCTTCCCCCTTGTTCAAACCCAGGGGAGAGGGTTGGTGGAAGGGTCAGCCGAGATCGCCATCGGATGGACAGCCATCGCAAACCAAAACAGACATTAGGTAGGCGAAGTTCGCGAGGTGGGCCACGCGGCCAGGTGCGCCATCCCCATCCAGGTGCGCCAAGCGCCCACTCGCGCCACGTGCTCCAACCACGCCACGTGCCCGACGCGCGCAGAGTGCGCCAGGCGGCGACAGGAGCGCCACACATCGGGCAGCATGTCGACCCCTCACCCCGCCATCCCTGTCAAAACCAGTGCAGAGTGGCGGCGGGGGGGGTCAGCACTATGTAAGGCGCGTACACCCGCAATGGGTCCGAAGTGGGCGGCACACAGCGAACAAACGTTTTACGTCGCAGCGCGGCGCGGCAGAGGCAGTCTGCACGCGCGCTCAAGCGGGCCGGGAAACCGCAGGCGCTAAATGCCCGCCAGCAAGAGCGGAGGAGAAAGACACGGGCGGGCGGCCGCGGTGGAGGGAAAAGAGGGGGACCAGAAGGCACTCACGGCGGACAAGCTGATGATCCATCCTCCCGCCCTCCCAGTCAAAAACGGTGCACAATGGTCGCGGGGTGCCCGCGCATGATCCAGTTTTGGTCGCCGCCGGAAAGATCCTGAGCCACGGGGTGCGGCGGCGGCCACGACGACGACGACGACGACGACGCCGACGCCGACGCCGACGCCGACGCCGACGCCGACGCCGACGACGACGACGACGACGACGACGACGACGACGACGACGGCGACGACTCGGCCGCAGCCGCTTTGGGCCCGACGGGGGGCCAGCTGGCCCCCCCGCCCCCGCTGGTGGGCGGCGGCCGGCGGGGGCTGTGCCCGCGCCTGCGGGGGGCGCCCTCGCGCTTGGGGAACGCCGCCGCCCCGCGCGCGCGCGGGTGTTCGACGAGGAGGAGAAGGAAGAGGAGGAGGAGAAGGAGGAAAACCAGTGCAACACAAAAGACGCGTCAACGATGCTGCGATAATCAGCCACGCGCAGAGGGGCCAGGTGGAGGGTCGAGGGCTTCTTAGAAGCACCCCTGCTTCTCCGAAGGCGCGGGCCTCGTCTGTAGATGTAGTGCCGGCGCCTTCCAAGAAGCAGGCTCCTTCGGAGAAGCTCTCCCCCTTTCCCCTACCCCCCGTGTGCGCGCTGCCAAAAACCCTCCCTCAAAGGTCACTTTTCATAGGGCTCTCAAAGAATAAAATCTCACTGAGTGACATGCCCCATTGGAAGACAGCCGCTGGGGAATCCTCAGTCGTGCCAAAGCATAATTCCTGGGACTTCAGCTTCGCGAATCAACGTGGCAGCCGCTTCCTTGCAGTCTTAAATCGCTCCAGAACACCATTAGGGGACCTCAGCACCGCGAATCAACATGAATGCTGCGTCCTGACAATCTTAAATCGTGCCAGCGCCCCTCTCCTGGGACTTCAGGCACACGAAGCCTAGAAACTGACGCAGACATTTAAGACGAATGCGCGCGGCGCTAAGGCGAGAGCCACATGTTGAAAACCAGCCGCCCTCCATCCTTGAAACTGCAACAAAGTTGTAAGACGAATGTGCTCGGCGCTGAGGCGAGAGCCACATTTTGAAAGCCAGCCGCCCTCCATCCTTGGAACTGTTGCAACGGTTTAAGCCAAATGTGCGCGGCGCCACAGCTTGAAAACCATGTGCCTTCCAAGCTTGAAAGCGGGTGCCACTGTTTAAAACGAATGCTCGCGGCGCTGAGGCGAGAGCCACCTTGTGAAAACGAACTGCCCTCCACCCGTGGAACTGCTGCAAACTTCAAGCCTCGGGGTCATAAGTGGTGAGGAGGTCTCCAGCGAAACGCCCAACACGCCCGACCGACACGTCGTGGGGTGCGACAGGGAGGAATCATACATTAGGAAAAGGACTGGAGGAGCCGGAGGACGAAGACACGGGGGACGAATCTGCATCGCAGGGGGGTGGAGAGGCTCAAGGGGGGATAGGCTCAAGGTGCCGGGGGGGTCGAAAGTTTTCGGATGTTTTGCGTCAGTTTTCGATGCTGGGGTGGTTTCCACCAGCTGCGCCTTGTCGAGGGCGCTCTGGGGGCCAGAACCGTCCCGAATGGCCGCCGGAGAGCTGAGCTATGGCCCGAAAACCAAGAGGTGGGCGAGGAGGCAGATTGCTGGCTGGGCGCTGACAGAGTGCCGTCCAGTTGGCGCCCATTATGAGTGGGCGCGGAGTGACGGACGTGTCGGCTGGGCTTTTATCGCACGAGGAGGACGAGGAGGATCAGGAGGACCACGAGGAGGAGGAGGAGGAGGAGGAGGACGAGGAGGTGGACGAGGAGGAGGGCAAGGAGGACGAGGGGAGGCGGAGGGGGACGAGGAGGAGGCCGAGGACTAGGGCGAGGAGGGTATTGGCCGATGCTGCCTATCTCTGACTCTCTCTCACTTTCTCTCTCTCTCTCTCTCTCTCTGGGCCGCGGGCGGTGCGTGCATGGACACTTTGGACGTCCGCCCCCCGTGGGCGCAGGGTCGAGGCACAGGAAAAAGCGCAATAAACATACGATTTCGGAGGTCGGCGCGGAGGTCCGTGGGTCGGCGAGGGGAGGGGGGGCCCGGCCGCGCCCCAAGAGGTCCCTCGCTGGACTCCGCAGGGTCGTGGGTTATGCCGCGCTCTGCTCCTGCAGGGGAGGACGAGGGCGAGGAGGCGGAGGGCCCCTCTGGCAGGAGTGTGGGCGCGGCTCGCCGGCTCTGGGCCCCCTGGGGAGACCCCAAGGGGCTCCCAGAGAGACCTCCGAGGAGCGCCCGCGCCCGAGCGACGACGAGGGCGAGGATGGGGGGGGGGGGGCCTCCCACCCTGCAGGATTTGCGCGTGCTTCGCCCGCTCCGGGGAACCCGGGGAACCCCAGGGGCCCCTGGAGAACTACAGATCGGGACGATCGAAATGGGTACGGAAAGAACGGGTACGATGCCCAACAGCATTTCCTGTTCATTCTGAGCAAGACTCGCTGTCCGCGCCGCCGCGGACATTGTTCTTGGCATCGTTCGGACGTGTGCATTTTTCCTTCGGCGAGGGCCATCGAAGAAAACCTTGATCATTTGGCGGAAAAAAACACGCACGAAACCTGCGTCGCCCGTGCGGGCCCTCCCGGGCGGCCCCCCCGCCACGGCACGGCCGGGCCCGCCCCCCAAAGAGTTGTGGTCAATCCGAGCGCGCCCGAGGACGACGACGGTTTTGAGGACGACGAGGGCGACGACGACGACGACCAGGACGACCAGGACGTTTTCGAAGACGACGACGACGACAATGACGAGGACGACGACGAGGACGACGACGACGACGACGACGAAGAGGTCTTCTGCGCCCCAGCTAGGAGACGTTTTGGGGTTGCGTCGGGCAGTTATCTGTTATGTCGGGGATGGTTCCAGGTCCAAGACCCTCCCCGACGCAGCGTGTTCCAGAGTCCTTCTCCCAGAACGCGCTCGGTCCCAGATGCCCCGCCGGGGCCCTACAGCCTCCACGAAGCCCTCAGGCCGAAGACCTCACCTCAACGCCCACAACGTTTCCTGATGGAGCGCGTTCTGGACAAGCGTCCCAGAACGCGCTGGGTTCCGTCGTCTGCCATGAGCCACCCCCTTGGCAGAACGACGGCTCCAGTGGTCACTCGGTGAAGGGGCCTCCAGGAGGCCCCACGAGGCCTCTTCTGCGAGGCCCCTGAGCCCAGCACGTTCCCTAAAAGCCCACACCGCTTCCTCAAGGAGCCTGTTCCGGATAGTGCGTCCCGGATCGCGCTCAGTTCTGTTTCTTGCCGTGGTCAATTTCCCTACATGCGAGCCCCTTCCCTCTCCGTCAGAGAGCCCCAAGATAAACCCCAGACTGCCCCGACAAGGCCCCGACAGAGCCCCAGGACAGCACAGAGAGTCTTCCAAAATGGCTCCAACAAGACGTCAGCCTGGCCGCGCGAGCGCCCTGGGAGACCCCCAGAAGCCCCCAGGAAGGCCCAGAAGCCCAGAAAAGGCACCCGAAATGCATCAAAGGGGCCCTCAAGAGGGCCCCCAAGCGGCTCCCTAGCGACCCCCCAGAGGCCCGACGAGGCCTCCAAGAGGTCCCACCAGGACATTAGCGGACGTCACCAAACGTTTTTTGATGACCCGTGTTCCGGAGAATGCGTCCCGGGACGCTTTGGGTTCCGCCTTCTCTCGCACCCGCCATCCGTGCTTGCGTGGCAGGCACAAACCGTTTCGTTGCGGAGCGTGTTCTGGATAATGCGTCCCGCAACGCGTTGGGTTCTTTCTTCCGCCGTTGTCGTTTGGTAACGTTTTCAGAAGACTCGCCTTTTCGCTTCCGATGGGCGCGTCAGGCCTCCAGAAGGCGCAATCCTGCTCGGCCTCATGCGGGTCTCCTCGAAGCTGCTTGGTGGGCCTCCCGAGGGCTTCTGCGCCCCTGCTGGGAGGCGTCTTGGGGGTGCGTCGGGCAGTTCTCCGTCATGTCGGGGGTGGCTCCAGGTCCAAGACCCTCCTAGACGCAGCGGTTTCCAGAGGCCTCCTCACAGAACGCGCTCGGTCCCAGATGCCCCGCCGGGGCCCTACAGCCTCCACGAAGCCCTCAGGCCAGAAACCTCACCTCAAAGCCCACAACGTTTCCTGATGGAGCGCGTTCTGGACAAGCGTCCCGGAACGCGCTGGGTTCCGTCTTCTGCCATGAACCACTCCCTTGGCAGAACGACGGCTCCAGTGGTCACTCGGTGAAGGGGCCTCAGGAGGCCAAGCTTCCTGATGGAGCGCGTTCCCGAGAATGCGTCCGGAACGCCCTCGGCTCCGTCCCATCCCGTGGTCAATTTCCTTGCTTGCGTGCCCCCGCCGTCTCCCTCACTCTCCACTTGCTTCTACCTTCCACTGATGCCATGCGCCCCTGAGTTCCCTTCTCCTTCGTCCAGCCGCCTCCTTCCTCCCTCTGCGTTCCCTTGCTTCTCCTGCTTGCCCTTCTCGCACTCTCCCCCCGCCACCCTTTGGCCCATGGACGTCTGCCTCGGGGGTCTCCGACAGAGCCACCCGACGGCCCAGAGAGTGCCCCGAAATGGCTCCCCAGGGCGTGAACCGGGCCACGGGCGCCCCGGGAGAGCCCAACACCCCCCAAAAGGCCCAGTGGCCCAAAAGAGACGCGCTAGAGGCTTTCAAAGGGGCCCCCTGGAGGCCCCCCTAGCGGCTTGCCAGAGGCACCCTCCTGGAGGCCCACCATTGCGAACAATAACCGAATGCAAGCTTTGCTTCGAAGCCCTCAGCTTCCCGCTTCCGACATCGGAGAATGCCTCCCGGAGCACGCCGGGTGCCAGCGCTTCCTTCCGTCCATCCCTTTGGTGGACTGAAGCCCCCCAGTGGCCAATCGGCGAGGGAGCCTCTAGGACGTCCCCTGAGGCCCGACGAGGCCCCCAAGAGGTCCCAAAACCCAGTACGTTAGCGGATGGACCGTGTTCCAGAGAGTGCGTCCCAGCACGCGTTGGGCTGTGTTTTCTCCCGCGGCCGCCTTCCGCGCCTGCGCGCAAGGCACATACCGTTTCCTGAAGGAGCGTGTTACGGAGAATGCGTCCCAGAACGCGTTGGGTTCTTTCTTGTGGCGTGGTCGCCGTTAACGTTTTGAATACCCTCCACTTGTCGTTTCCGATCGGCGCTGGAGGAGGGGGAGGAGGGGGAGAAGGAGGAAATGACGAAAGAGAAAAAAGAAAAGGAGGAGGAGGACGGGAGTTGAAGGACATCTAGCAGAGGATGGACTTCGTTTTCGTCGTCGTCATTGGCAACGTTTACGCTCGATGATGTCATCGTCCGAGATCGTGTCTGCAATTGGGGAAGCTTGCACAAGAACCTAAGTGCGCGCGAGGCACGCGCGTGATTCTAGTATGGTTGTGTATAATACACATCTACACAAACCTATATGAATACATTTACATATACATATACATATGCACATACATCTACATGTACATGCACAACATATGTATGTATATATATATATATATATATATATGTATGTGTATGTATAAATACATATATTTATGCATACGCATACACATGCACATTGGCACATGCAGATACATAAACATGGGCAAGGGCATAGACATATACATGTACATAAGCAGATGTAAATGCATGTGTATCTGTATATATATATATACATATATGTATGTATATATACACATATATGTATGCACACAGACACACACACACACACACCAAAACAAGCAAAACAAACTCAATCATCCTTTCCCCGTCCTGGTGCCCCTCCCCCCTCATCCAGTCCCTCCTCCCCACCGCCCGTCTCCACCTCTTCCTCATCCTCCTCCTCCTCCCCATCATCATCCTCGTAATTCCAGCGTCCCTCGTTCTACTCGCTTTCGTCCTCCTCACCCTCCCCCCGCCTCTTCCTCCTCCCACCTCCTCATCCTCCGCCTCCCCTCCCTCGTCCGTCCTCCTCCTGCCTGCGAGACACCTCCCCCGACGCGTCCCCCCCCCGCCACACGCCCAGCGCGGCCCCCCCAAACGCTGCCGAGTCCCCTTCCCCTCCGCGCCTCGCCCACCCGCTCCGCGCGCGCGCGGACACCCCCGCCGCCCCCCCCCATTTCCCCCCCGCGCACGAGCTTGGGAAGCGTTGTCCCAGAGCTGGCCAGGAGCCGCGCACGAGCCCAGGAAGCGCTGCGCAGGAGCTGCGCAAACGTCTCTTGGCCCATGTGCTGGGAACGACGAGAAAAGCGCCGGCGGAGCACCTTGCGAGTTCCAGGAAAGGCGCTGCCCCCTCCCCCCCCCCCCCGGAGGACGGATGGAGACCCCGCGCGACGGCGTTGCGGCCGCCAAGGGTCCCCGCGCGACCGCGGGCGCGGCCACGCGGCCAGGCGCGCCGAGTGCCACGAGGAGGGCGAGGAGGAGACGGACGGAGGGTGAGATGAGGCAGGTGGGGGTGCTGAGAGATCTTGCCGTTGCGCGCTCCTCTAAAGCCGTTGCGGGGTTCTCCAAATTTCCGATTCTCGTTGCCGCTATTGTTCCCGTCGTGCAAGCATTGTTTGCATCTGCATGTTGTGTTCATGTGTGTGTGTGTTGTGTGTGTGCTGTGTGCTGTGTGTTGTGTGTGGTTGGGTGTGTTGTGTGCTGTGTGTGTGTTGTGGGTGTGGGTTGTGGTGTGTGTGTGTGTTTTGTGTGTTGTGTGTGCTGTGTGTGTTGTGTGCTGTGTGTGTTGTGTGTGGTGTGTGTTGTGTGTAGTGCGTGTAGTGTGTGTGATGTGTGCGTTCTGTGTTGTGTGTTATGTGTGTTATGTGTGTGGTGTGTGGTGTGTGGTGTGTCTGTTGTGTCTGTTGTGTGTGTTGTGTGTTGTGTGTCGTGTGTTTTGTGTGTGTTGTGTTATGCGTGTTATGTGTGGTGTGTGTGTGTCGTGTATGTTGTTTGTGTTGTGCGTGGTGTGTGTGTGTTGTGTGTAGTGTGTGTGGTGTGTGTGGTGTATGTGGTGCGTGTGTGTTGTGTGTTGTACGTGTGTGTGTGTGCGTGGGCGTGGGCGTGGGCGTGTGTGCGTACATGCGTGTGTGCGTGTGCGCGTGCGTGCGTGCGTGCGTTCGTGTATGCGTGCGTGCGTGTGTACGTGTGTGTGTCTGTGTGTTTCTGTGTGTGTCTGTGTGTGTCTGTGCGTGTGTCTGTGTGTGTGTCTGTGTGTGTGCTGTGTGTGTCTGTGTGTGTCTGCGTGTGTGTGTGTCTGTGTGTGTGCGTGTGCGTGTGCGTGTTCGTTTGGGTGTGGGTGTGGGTGTGTGTCTGTTTGCGTGTGGGCGTGTGGTTGTGTGTGCGTGTGTGCGTGTGTACGTGTGTGCGTGTGTTCGTGTGTGCGTGTGTGCGTGTGTGCGTGTGTGTGTGCGTGTGCGTGTGTGTGTGTGCGTGTGTGTGTGCGTGCGCGTGTGCGTGTGTGTGCGTGTGTGTGCATGTGTGTCGTGTAGGTTGTGGATTTCTCAGAGAGGCGATCGTGCGGCGGATCTCTCGCCATTCATGGGGCACTTCTTGGGGATGAGGTGTTCCTCTCACTGCGTGGTGCGGCGGTGGTCGCCTCGGGTGATGTGGGCCGGCCAGTGGCATCGCCTTTGAATCTGGCTTCCAGATCTTGTGGTGCTCACGGCGTCAGGTCCCCTTCTTCCTGTCCGACATTTCCCCCGGTCGCCGACCTGACCGACACTTGGTAGGTGACGTCGGCTTCCCGTGAAGTGGACCTGTGTCGGGTCGCCGACGAGCACAGGGTGCTATGTGACTGAGTCCGCCTCTTTCCGCTCCGCTTTTTTGTTCCCCCCCCTGTCTTCCTGTTTTGTGCAGGGGATGCGCCTGCCAGTTCTATTTCTGGTCGGCTGTTGTTAGGACACTCGGTCTGATGTTCTGGCCTGGTCTCGCAGCGTCCTGCTCTGCATGTTGCACGTGCGCGGTTTGGCGCCCTCTTGGCGGCCTCTACCGTCCGTGGCCTGGCCCTTTTGCGCCTCGTTTTTCTGCCGAATTTGTTGTGGGCAGTGTCTGCCCTTGCCGTTCCGGTCGGCTGTTGTTAGGACAGTCGGTCAATGTTCTGGCTTGGTCTCGCAGCGTCCTGCTCTGCATGTTGCTTGTGTGTGGGTTGGCGCCCTCGTGGCGGCTCCCTCCAGTCGTGGCCTGGCCTTCACTAGTTATCAGGCATTGCGCCCCATTGCCTTCTGACACGCCCCCTGGACTTTTCCTTGCGGGCCGCCGAACAAAAAAGTATGTGCGTATGTGTGCGTGTGCGTTGTGCGTGTGGCTGTGCTGCGCTGTGTTGTGCGGGGCTGTGCTGTGCCGTGCTGTGTTGTGTTGTGTTGTGTTGTGTTGTGCTGTGTTGCGTTGTGCTTTGTTGTGTTGTGTTGTGTTGTGCTGTGTGCGGGTTTCGTTCGGCCCCTGTCCCATCCTGCGGGGCCCTGCCGCGCACGCGCTCGCCGCTGCGTGCGAGGCCGCGATCGCCAAAAAACGCGTGCGCGTTGCCCACGCCAGGGCATGCGCAATGCAGGGTCGATCCAACACGGATCCCTGCGCCTTCTGATGGGCCCGCCGCGTGAACACGCCCGTTTTCGACGCTGCGCGCGAGGCCGCGACCGCCCAAAAGTATGTGTGTGGTTATGTGTCATGTGGTTGTGTGTGTTTCTGCGTGCGTGTTTGTGTGTGCTTGTGTGTGCTTGTGTGTGTGTGATTTGTGTGGTGGTGTGTGTATGTGTGTGTTTGTGTGTGTGCGTGTCTGTGCGTTTGCGTGTGAGTGTTTGCGCGTTTGTGTGTGATTGTTTGTGTGGTTATGTGGTTGTGCTTGTGTGGTTGTCTGCGTGTGCGTGTGTGTGTGTGTGCGTGGTCGTGCGCGCGTGCGTATGAGTGTGCGTGTGTGTGTGTGTGTTGTGTGTGTTTGTGTGTGTGTTTGTGTGTGTGTTTCCGTGTGAGTGTGTGTGGTTGTGTGTGTTTGTGTGTGCGTGTGGTTGTTTGCGTTTGTGTGTTGTGTGTGGTTGTGTGCGTTTGTGTGTGGTTTTGTGTGTGTTTGTGTGTATGCGTTTTTGTGTGTGTTTGTGTATGTGTGTGTGCGTTTGTGTGTTATGTGTGTTGTGTGTTGTGTGTTGATTGTACGTTGTGTGTTGTGTGTTGTGTGTGAGTTGTGTGTGCTGTGTGTGTGTTGTGTGTGTGTTGTGTGTTGTGTGTGTTGTGTGTTGTGTGTGTTGTTTGGTGTCTGTTGTGTGTGTTGTGTGTGCTGTGCGTGTTGTCTGTGTGTTGTGTGTGTCTGTGTGTTATGTGTGGTCTGTGTGTTCTGTGTGTTGTGTGGTGTGTGTGCTGTGTGTGTTGTGTGTGTTGTGTGTATGCGTTGTGTGTGTTCGTGTGTTGTGTGTGTTGTGTGTCGTGTGTGGTGTGTGTGTGTGGTGTGTGTGTGTGCTGTGTGTGTGTGCGTGTGCGTTTGCATGTGCGTGCTTGCGTGTGTGTGTGTGTGTGCGTTCGTGCGTGCATTCGTGCGTGCGTGTGTGTGTGTGTGTGTTTGGGTTGTGTTTGTGTTTGTGTGTATGTGTGTGTGCGTGTGTTTACGTCTGTGTGCGAGTGTGTGTGTGTGCGTGCGTGCGTGCGTGGTGCGTGCGGGCGGGCGGGCGTGCTGGCGGGCGGGCGTGCGTGCGTGTTTGCATGTTTGCGTTCGTGCGTGCGTGCGTGCGTGTACGTGCGTGCGTGCGTGTGTGTCTGTGCGTGTGTGTGTGTGTGTGTCTGTGTGTGTCTTTGTGTGTGTGTTTTGTGTGTGTCTGTGTGTGTGTGTCTGTGTGTGCGGCTGTGTGTGCGTCTGTGTGTGTCTGTGTGTTGTGTGTCTGTGTGTGTCTGTGTGTGTGCCTGTGTGTGTGCCCGTGTGTGTGTGTGTGTGTCTGCGTGTGCGTCTGTGTGTGCGTGTGCGTGTGTGTGTGTGTGTGTGTGTGTGTGTGTGCGCGTGTGCTTGTGTGTATGTGTGCGTGTGTGTGCGTGTGTGCGTGCGTGCTTGCGTGCGTGCGTGCGTGTGTGTGTGTTTGTGTGTGTTGGCGTGTGCGTGTGCGTATGTATGTGCGTGTGTGTATATGTGTTTGTGCGTGTGCGTGTGTGCGTGCGTGCGTGCGTGTGTGTGTGTGTCTGTGTGTGTGCGTGTGTGTGTTTCAATTTGCATACAGCGTGTCCCGTGTTGCCCTTCTGCCCGAGCAGTCAACCTCTGCCCAGCCGCCGACGCAAAAAGTGTGTGTGTGGTTGCGTGTGCGTGTGCGTGTGCGTGTAGGTTTGGGTGTGGGTGTGGGCGTAGGTCAAGTTAGCCAGCTCGAACGAGCCAGAGGGATCCGTCCACTCCCACCCGCCCTCCCACAACATGAGAAGCAAGTGCGTCGCGTCCGACGCCTGTCGTTCATCTTATACCGCGGGCGGCTAGACGTTCAGCGCGAGACATGAGCTGCGTCCTATTCCTGCCGCGTATTGAGCAACGTCGACGAGAAACAAGGACGCGCGCGATGTACGCCGCGCCCCGCTCTGACCTCTCATTTTGCATCATCGTCGGCGACAACATGTCCAGCGCGCGAACCGCTAATCGTTTCGCTCCTGCCGCGCATGGAGGAGGGGGAGGACGAGGAGGAGGAGGAGGGGAGGGAGAGAGGTCTCTCTTACGTGGACACGGCAACTGGCGCGCCGGCGGCGAACCGCACATGCTTCAGGCATTATGATTTCCCGCCCGCCCAGCTCCTCAACCCGACGGGCCGCAGCGTCGAAGACAAGAAAGTCCATGTTGACGAGCAGGCATCCCCGCGCGATGTGCGCCGCGTCCCATTCCCACTACGCGATTCGCAGCGCCGACGAGGAGAAAGTACATGTTGGCAAAGAAAACGTCGACGTTGCTGTATTTTTTGCCAGGTAAAACGGGGGGTCCCGCGTAAGGTTGGCCAGGCGTCCGCGCGCGATGTGCGCCGCGTCCCATTACTGCTACACTTGTCGCAACGTCGACGACAAGAAAGTCCACGTTGTCGGGAAAATCGTTGTTCGTGCATTGTTGTTGGATAGGTAGGACGCGACCACCCGCTTAGGGTTACCCAAGCGATGTTCATTCCGTCCCATTTTTGCTACACGGTTCGCAGCGTAGACGACAAGAAAATCCACGTTGTCGAGAAAGTCGTTGATTGCGTATTGTTTTTGATAGGTAGGACGCGACCACCTTTTTAGGGTTACCCAAACGATGTTCATTCCGTCCCATTCCTGCTGCACTTTTTCGCAATTCGACGACATGTTGGCGAGAAAGAATGTGAGCTTGTATTGTCTCTTTTACAATTAGAACGGCGAGGTTGCTATCGGCTGGCTCGGTGAGGGTTTGGGGGTG